TTAAAATCAGCCCTGTTCAGGCTTCGGTTTGGTAAAGCAACATGCATAGATGTCATGTGACGTCAGAGTCTTAGATGCACTTATTATACCTCTACTGATTTTTCCCTATATAAAATTAAGTGATTATATCTGAACAATTCCCTAGAAATCGCTGTGAATCGACTAATCGCAGTGCGTTAGTTTTTGAGCTAATCCCTCGGTCGAAAGCTAGTCATGCTAATTCGCGGTTATAGCTTATCATTGTGACGTCATAATAGAGAGACGCAAAAACACAATGCTTCGTGACGTATTTCATGTAACAAAACGCAACAAAATAAGACGTAAACAACTGACTGTATTAGAATAAGGGAATAACTGGTATTTGCGACGAATGATGATTAGTTTATCTGTTAATGAATATTTGTTTTTAAAAGGTGATCTTTACAATTTAAATTTGTATCGGTATAATAAAACAGTTATAGTATATCATTGACGTAGTTAGCAAGATTCCAGTTCCCCTCGACCAGGACTATTTCCCTCGGCGCGCTGCGCCTCGGGAAATAGTCCTGATCTTGGGAAACTGGAATCTTGCTAACTCCGTCAATAATTTACTTTAACTGTATACTAATGTCACATGCGGTTTGACAAGCCCGATCTAAATGAGAACTGAATAAGTATTTGTGCTCGCCCTGACTTGAGCAAGTCTATAACGGTAGCACCGTCAACAAATTAATAATTTATTTTTAAAAAAAATCATATATGGTAATAATTATAGTGAGCGTAGCGAGCATCGCAAAGCGACGCTCGTAACTGCGAGCTCTAATGACAACGCCTGGGCAAAGAGAAAATTCGGACTACTGCACATTCATTCCATAAAATTTTTTGCCGCAGTAATTTTGACCCACAATGCATTGCTTCATACACACATGCTAAAGCCATGTTCTCGCGAGAATTACGACAAAAGTTTAAAGAAAAATAAAATTGCTTTGATTTAATGAAAAGAATTTATCTGTTTATTGCACAAAATAATCGTACACTGATTGAAATCAGCCCTATTCAGACTTCGGTTTGGTAAAGCAACATGCAAACGACATCATATGACGTCATTGTTTTATATGCACCGAATGTCATGTGCAGTTTGACGAGTACAATCTAAATGAAAACTGGATAAGTATCTGCGCTCGCCCTAACGGTCGCACCGTCAACATATTAGGATTTTTTTTTTAATTAATAATTATTACACACAGGTAGCAAGTCCCTGTGAAGGCAATAAAATTTTAAAGACATGGCTTTCGTATTCTTATTGGTAATTGTTGTTGGTTAAATACAATCAAATATAAAACCATAGAGCTACAGTTCTGCAGATTCTGATACTGTTTTACCTTCTTTCTTTTTATATACAGTAACATTTTTTAAAAAAAATTTTATTTCCCATACGGTGCCAGAACTAGTAGGTGTAAATTTTCAATTTTGTAGTAAAAAACTTGTAGGTAGATTTATAGCTGCACATCTGTAGCATTATGGTTTTATATATTTGTCTTTGACCATAACGCTACAGATCCCGTAGTGCAAAAAAAGGTGCAATTTACGGTGCAATATTTTTTGCACTCTTTTGGGGAGAATTTCTCCACTTTCCAGCATTGTTCAATCAACTACCTTTTTAACCCCTAATTCTAGACACATTATTTAAATGAATCTGTATATTTTATCCATCTCCCAACCCTTTATAGTCGTCTCTACAAGTGATAAACTCGCTTGATTAAAATTAGGCCCTATTTGTTAGATTACTGAAAATTCATATCCAGCGAGTTTATTGCCTGAAGAGACAACTATAAATGGTTGGGAGGTGGATAAACTATAGATAGTTTTCGATTGACCAAGAGTTACTTCCCGTTGGTCGCCATACTGGAGGTCCATATGCTCATTATTCCTTCATTGTTCAACCAATTAAAAAATTTTATATTTGCTATTTTGAATTAGAAATCATTATTTTTCTGAAGTAGGGTGAGTTCACCATGCATCGGACACATACCTTGCTTCGGACAACTTTAGGCAATAAACTCTCTTTCAACTTAAGAGTTCTGTGTATTTATTTGTTTCTGTCATAAAGATGAAGATTTAAATTTTTTAATGATACCGATTGTGTTTATCATGTTGTGATAAAAATACCCCGCAAATGGCCTTGATGTTACGTCATATTTTACATCATCAAAGGGGAATAACCCGAAATTTATGATTTTGCAATTTTTAGAGTTACCGTTCTTTTAAATTCGACTTCTACGGAACGAGTCGGACTTTGGTGAATTTTGTCAGGGATTGGTAATTTTACATAAATTATAAAGAAATTTCACTTCAATGTTTGTTTAATTCTTATTAAAGCTGGTTTTTACTAGTATGCTAATTTCACCGTACATCGGACACAAATTAACCATGCATCGGAAACTTTTCGATGCAAAGGTAAGCACTACCATTTTCATACAGAACCCAGCTGACAGCTGTTTTTTGCGGAAAAAGAAAATAAAAACTCTATATTTTCAGTCAAAATACAAGTTACCGACATATGACGTCTCGAATTTTACTCAATTTATTTCTACAAACCAGAGTATGATAAACCATGAGAAAAAGGCGCGAATTACGGCATTATAAGCATTTTAATGCATTTCTAAGGCAGAGTGGGGTCTCTAGAATCATTCTACATTTGTGCAATAATATTGTCGATTAAATTAAAGTTGAGGGTTATTTCTTAGATAAAAGATGAAAATATATCCATATCAAGGATTTTAAAGCACTGTGATAAAGGTATGATATTTTCTCGGTCTCCATACTGTCTGTCCGATGCATGGTGAACATTGTCCGATCCATGGTGAATTTTCCGTTTTTCCAAAAACTCGATTTTTGGGGATATTTTCTCAATAAACGGCGTATAATTGTGTCCTAAATTGTTGTTTTAATCACAAACTAAATGTTAAACTCCATTTTGATAATTTTCCGTCGGTAGCGATATCGCTAGAACTTGTTGAAGTACAAGGGTATCCGATGCATGGTGAATTCACCCTATATAAATTTTTGGAAGCCTCCTTTATTTAAAAAAAAATATTTGATAAAGATTTTCCACCAAATATTTCTGCTATATTTTCTTAAACTTGGTAAGACAAAGAAGGAAAATCACTGAGTCCACCTCCAATATGGCGGCCAACGGGAGGTAACTTTCGTTAAATTCGTTGAAAAATTCCCATCGAAAACTATCTATACATATTGGCTACAAAATGTGTCTAGAATTAGGGAGTGAAAGGTAGTTGATTGACCAAAGCTAGAAAGTGGGGTCATAGTTCTTCCCAAAAGAGCGCAAAAAATAATATTAATATTGCGCCGTAAATTGCACCTTTTTTGCACTACGGGATCTGTAGCGTTATGGTCAAAGACAAATATATAAAACCATAACGCTACAGATCTGCAGCTAGTAGATTTAATAAAAGAAGCTGGGGGTAGTAACCCAGGGCTACACGTCTGATTTATCTCTACATCTAAAACATCTTTATTTTTAAAAGATACCTGGGCATATTACATTGCTCCATAACTTACCTAGACTATGCTATTCACGAATTTTTGTGCTCTAAAAATGAAAATTTGAAGAAAAAAATCATCAGGATGTTTATAACGGGTTCTAAAGCTAAAAGAAACACTAAAACCCGTTTTATTCCGGAATTTTACATATTGACATCTTGAAAACTCAAAAAAGAAATTATACTTATGAATTATTATAAAATACCATCAATTTGAAATGTAAAAAGTAATATTACCAGAGATCAAATTTATGTCACAATTTTTTTTAAATCAATGGTTCAGCTTCAGACTGGAAGGATAAATATGCAAAGAGAGATAACTACCTTTATCATGTTTTACTGAAATATTTACAAAAAAAAAAAAATCATTTATCCTTACCTAAATAAACAGTGCTTTCTTTTTCCTTAAGTTATTACCATCATCAAGGATGATAAAATCTTGATTTATTTTTTCAACAACTTTCTTCTAAATTAATACATTTTGCTTGTGGAAATTGAATTTCAGTCTCATTCCTCCTCTGAAACAAAAAACTAGCATTCATTAGAATAGAAGTTTGCATTCTGTCTATACTTTAATGTCATTAAAATTTAAAAATTAAAATCTTCATTAGACCATCCTGTAACCAACTAAAATCAGCCTGACTCAAAACTTTTTCTTAGCTCCTACCAGGCTCCTGGAAAGTATGAAATATTTATTCACTCCAAAGTTTTCTTATCCCATTGTAATTAAACCATTTTAATTTCATCTTCACATTTAGAAAAATTCTCCCTCCCTACTACACAATTATTTTCATTCTGAGTCAGAGATGGACGAGCAAACAATTCAATATACACATACTTGGCAAAATATGCAGAGACAATTAACTCAACATACACCCTTTTCTGATAATGATCTTTAAGTTCCATTGGATTCACTGTCCCTTTGTCATGATTACCGGTATTTCCTTTAATCATTTACACTTCCAAGACCATTTTCTTAAAAAACCTTTTTATTTTCAAATATGAACACATTAACAAATTTGAATTAAGTAACATACATTCTGAAGTAAATGCCATGTCTCAGGTTTAATGTCTTCAGGTTTACTGAATATGTGTGAGTAAATTTTTTTTTCACACGACAGCTTCGAAGTAAACTAATGCGAATTAAAAAAACTATTTGACGTCATTTGCAAATCAGTCACTTTACAAACATTTCTTTGACATAAGGTCAAAGTGTCTGTATACACATTTTAATGAAAAAAATGTCCTTAGTTTTTCACTCAAAAATAGCACAAGTTTTTACCACACATGGCATTTGACTGAATTTTGCCATTACGCATGCGTCGGAATTTAATTCGAATTAGCTTCGCTTAGCGTTCAAGCTAATGCGAAGTAATTTAATCAGTTTTCGAATTAAACTAATTAGGTGACAACAAAATGTGTGACTCTGTGTGAACAGGGCATCTTATAAATAACACTTTCTTCAAACTTGTTTTATTCAGCAACAAACATTTCTTTAATGCATATGTCGATCACAAAAAAATGTCCTTTGCTTTTTACCACACATTCACTCTTTTAAAACTTAGGGACAACAAAATGTGTGTCTGACACATCTGGCCAAACAACAAAATAAGCATCTAATTCTTTAAATATCATCATGTCTTTGCTTTAGGCGAGAAGAAGCTGGCCAATGACTTCATCCCAGATTTGTCCACTTTACTCAGTTTCTTCTGACCAACTGTCAGTTTACTGGCCTGTAAAATAAGATAGATGACAGAAAATGTTATTGCAAAATTCATATATTAAGTTCAAATCCTTTTCTACAGGAGTTAACTTTTTGGGAAAGGGGGGGGGGGGTGTTGTCATAATTGGCTCAGAAATTTAATTTGAAAAGGAAAGCAGAAAGCAGTACAGCTTGGTCCTTATTCTATCCAATAGGTTATGTAAGAAGTTATGAAAGTTTTATATACAGTACAAGTTACATTTCTTAAGATTGAACAGTTCCTGACATTTCTTACCTTAGTTGACTTGACCTCTGACTTTCCTTGACTGTAATCTTCTGTTGGGGTAATGTCATCCGTCTTAGCTTTCTGTAATCAGAGAAATTGTTGTTTTCAGACTTTTATACCTACATCTTTAAGTTTACTAGTCAATCAATGAGATCCTGTAAAACAATCCAATATTGCACAGAATTAACTCTTGATTTTTTGGATGACCTCACCTTTAATGGGGGCTCATTTTCCTTTTTCTCAACAACCTCTGGAATTCTGTGAAAAAAAAACAATGTTTCCATTGAGATACCTTGGTTAATTTCAACAAATAATTACTTTAAGGTATAAAATACACTTTCATAGACTTTCCAAAACATAAAATTCCTGTCAATAAGAATTAGGAACTATTTTGATCTAGGAAGTTGAATTCTACTCACTTCATGTGTTCTCTAAGCCTGGCACTAATATCTGTAGGAATGTAGTCACAGACCATTCCATAAGCATATCTTATGTAATCATCTTAAAACAGACAGACAATGTAAAATATAGTTTGCTACAGAGAATGTCAAATCAATGCCTGTACCCGACTAAATTGTAAAAATTCATTTGGACTATTAAACTAAATTAAATTCCAACTTGTTAGGCTATCTAAATTTAATTCCTTGGTTCTCAGGCCAATTTTCTCCAAAACATATATTATTTTTCATTTTATTGGCAATAAAGTAATGAGGGATCTATTTTTTTTAATTTTAATTTCCGAATTTTCACATAACATAAAGATAATTTTTTTAATCACAGATATACTTTATTTGCAAAAATTTCTGCTTTATCCATTGCTTAACAGCGTGTAAACATCGTAGGTAATGTCCTCCAATGTATTTTCAAACGAAGTAGCCAAAATCTCATTGAAAATGACTACCGGAAGTGATATTTGAATACTAAACTACGAAACAAATGAGGTCGGAATTTTTTTTTCCCAGATTAGTCTCCGCAACACCAACTTTTTATTTTATCAAAAATACCAAAAAATCGGCAATGCGGCCTCCTCAAAACGGATGCGGGCGGGCCTGAGAACCAAGATTTCAATTTTATTTGGCCTTAGAATATTCTACATAAGCCACTGAAAAGTGCAAGAGTTATCTCTCTTCATATATAACTCATTCTTCAAATGTGTGACCGAAGGGCTATTTTTTTTAAATAATCAATTTCATAATTTATGTATATTAATTGAGTCAGTACCCTTCCTGCTTCTGAAAAAAATTGACGGGAAGATAATCGGAAGTCTGAAAGAGGAGATAGGTGTCCAAATGTACACGCAGGTCGGAAAGTTTATGTACGTAACTTGGTGTCCACAGTGACTGTTTTTAAATCAATAAGCTATTCTTTTCTAGTGAATCCTTTTTGAAGTATATAAACACTAGTTTGCATGTTTCATTGCATGACTTATTTCTGCCTTATTCCATTATAATCAGAAAATATATCCAAGATTACCAATGGACACCGTTACGTACATAAGCACTAAACAAGTAACATATTACTAGAATTTTACAAGTTGTTAAAATATAAAAATAATGTCACCAATAAGGTATGATGAAATCATGTTTAATGTTATATTAAATGGAATTTATTTAAAAAGTCAAAATTTTTATTTCTAGTTTCAAACAAGAGGCCCATGGGCCTTATAGGTCACCTGAGCATTATTCAACAACTTTCCAGTGATTGAATTTGATCCATGTTTTAAGCCAGATGCTATAGCATTTACAATTTTTATCATCATAACTATACATTTAGCAGTTCCTTAGTTTGGTTACTTTATACCCATAGGCAGGATAGGGGAACAAAAAAAGCATTTCAACTAATCAGTAATATTCAGCAATAATCAGTAGTGCCGCTACCACACTTGAACCCTTGACTCTTAGGCCTAGATCCTCACATTGCACTATTTTTGGAAAGGCATCCTTGCTTTTCAAAAATATTTGATTAATACCAAGGAGAACATTTCAAACAATTCATTCATTTTCAGTATATAAGTACAGCCCACCCACCCCCACCCCCCCTCTATGGTACAACTGACCCTGGGGCCTTGAAATTTTCAATTCTTGAAGATTAAGGAATACTCATAACTATATAGGTAGTTCATATGCTTAAAACCTAGGAGCAAAGAAGAAAATATTCAAAGATTTAATGTTTTTTCACTATACATGTATAATCAATACAGCCCCACCCTAACACCAGAATCCTTGACCCTGGGGCCATAAAATTCACAATTTTGGTAGAGGCACTCTTGCTCATCATAACTATGTATTTAGTTAGTTTATTTAAAACCTAGGAGCAGAGAAGAAGATTTTCAAAGAATTAAGGTATTTTCACTATATAATCAATAGAGCCCCACCCTAACACCAGAACCCCTGACCCTGGGGCCATAAAATTCACAATTTTGGTAGAGGCACTCTTGCTCATCATAACTATGTACTTAGTTAGTTTATATAAAACCTAGGAGCAGAGAAGAAGATTTTCAAAGAATTCAGGTATTTTCACTATATAATCAATAGAGCCCCACCCTAAAACCAGAACCCCTGACCCTGGGGCCATAAAATTCACAATTTTTGTAGAAGCACTCTTGCTCATCATAACTATGTACTATGCTAGTTTATTTAATACCCAGGAGCAGAGAAGAAGATTTTCAAAGAATTCATATCTTTTCTCTATATAATCAATAGAGCCCCGTCCTAACACCAGAACCCCTGACCCTGGGGCCATAAAATTCACAATTTTGGTAGAGGCACTCTTGCTCATCATAACTATGTACTTAGTTAGTTTATTTAATATTCAGAAGCAGAGAAGAAGATTTTCAAAGAAATAATGCATTTTCACTATATACTTATTTAGCCCCACCCTAGCACAAGAACCCCTGACCCCAGGGCCATGAATTTCACAATTTTGGTACAGGACTCAATGCTGATTACAATCATGCAAACAGTTTGACTGCTTGATGTCCAGGAGTAAAGAAGAAGATTTTTAAAGATTGCATTAATTGTAGTGGTTTTGGCCCCACCCCCCAGGCCCCAGGGGGGGGCAGGGATCATGAAATTCACAATTTTTGTTCCCCTTCACCCATAGATGCTTTGTGCCAAATTTGGTTGAAATTGGTTCAGTGGTTGCAGAGAAGAAGCTGAAAATGTTCAAAAGTTTACGACCGATTGACGACGAACGACGTACGACGGACGACGACGGACAAAAACAGATAGCAATAGGTCACCTGAGTGACTCAGGTGACCTAAAAAGGAGAAATTATGTACGTAACATGGACACCTAACTCCGAATCAGGTTTAAAAAGGAACAAAAAAAAAACAAGACAATCGAACACTTGTCTTTAATACTTTTAATGTTTCATTTCAAAGCTTAATAATAGACTAGCTTTCAAAGAAAATTAATGCAGACAAGTAAGTTGTCAGATGGATTGCTAAATATCCTGGGTCTTCTATTTTGAGTCTTGTGGATCTTTGTGTCATTGTTACGAGCATAATTCAGTCATTTCTTGTAAATCTGAAAGAAAATAAAAATATAAAACAAAATACACCATGATGTAATCAATACATATGCTGTTTAATTATATTTATTATATATCCTTGAGAAAACCAGAAACAAGGCAATTAAAGCACAAACTAGAAAACTGACCAGTCAGCAAGGGCCCCGCCATGGGGTAGAATTAAAAGGGTGCAGCTTACAGAATGTACAAAGAAAAAGCAATAGCAACTGTATTCTTAAAATTTCAACATAATTCCTGAATATTCAAAAAACCTGAAAATAATATTCCTGTATTTACATTAGGCAGTAAAGAACAACTTAACATTGAATTTATATTTAAACAATTATGAATCTTGTGTTATATAAAATGCCAGCCTTCAATGAATGCAAATATCATGAAGGCTTGACCTTAACTTCAAACAAACAGCAGTTGCAGACAAAGGTTTTCATTAATCTTAAAGTGACAGATAAAGAGAAGCCTACTAAATTTTCTGCAGCAGGCTAGATAATTAATCCCAAGGGATTAATTGTACCTCTCTCATCATTTTCTTCTAAAGTTATAATAAGAACTTTTTTAGTATTAATGATAGAATGGGGTTTTTATACAACTACATTAAAAATTAAAAACATTCTTGAATTTATATATTTAAAAAAAAAAAAGGAAAAAAGTGAAAAATTAATCTATTTCTTTTTTTAGGATTCAATGAAATCATAACTATCAAACAAAAATAAATAATCATTATAAAAATTTATATTTAAATCCACATTTCAGAGTGTTCATAGTATTCCAAATTGATTTAACTTCAAAACAAACTTCATTTGCAGACAGAGGTGGTGATTAATCTCAATGTGACAGATAAAGATAATGCTCTGGATTTTCTTCAGGAGGAAAGCTAATTAATCTCATGGGACTCCTAGTAGCATTCAGTTTACTGAATGGGAACATCTTCAGCAGTTATCTCTCTTTGCAAATGCATTCTTATATAAAGTTAAGGAATCTATCCCACCACCCCAGCTCCAAACCAAGGGACATAGAGAACCAAACTTAGCATCAAAATATGTATTTTTGCCTACTGAACTACGGTACCAAATTTGATCTTAATTGGGCAACCATAAAAAAAGTTGCCCGTTCATTCTTATGCATAGTTAAGGAATCTACCCCACCACCCCAGCTCCAAACTAGAAGACATAGAGAATCAAACTTAGCATCAAAATATGTATTTCTGCCTATTAAACTACCATACCAAATTTAAACTTGATTGGGCAACCATAAAAAAAGTTATTAGAAAAAAACAGAAAATTTGTGGACGGAAGAGTGACAGACGGACAGACAGACGGACAGACGGACGGACAGACAGAGTGATTACTATAGGGCACCCGCAAATCCTTGCGGGGCCCTAATTATGTCACTACTTAAAGTTTTCGTGTCTCCTTCACGAACGTAATTGCGTAAACGATATGGCAATAATAAAAAAAATATTCAATAAGTATTCATCCTTTGATAAAAACGAACAAAACAGATATAAAATAGAATATAGTGCAATGTAACAATTATCATTAATAGATTATATAAATAATGTAAAAACATTATGTTCATAACAAAAGACGCGAATTAAAAGTCAAATGTTAAACCGAAAGTACTCGACTCGGACAGATTTATGCATTTTGTATGGTCATAATTGACATATTTTAGTTTCTGATTAATAGCTACATGGTATAAAGATACAATGACTGTATTTATGTGTTAAACATTCACTCAAATTGATACAATATGAATATACTTACTGAATCTATTATGTACGTAACTTCTTTTTTCCACATGGACACAATGAGCATCGCCATGTTTTCTAGCAGACAGCTGCGCCATCTTTCTACTTTCGTTTTCAATTTATAATTATACCACTGCTACGGACTTCCTGAGCCAAACTTATGATTCATTGGCTGTTATTTTAGCAATCATACTGAAAGCTATTATGTTCGTAACGGTCAAGACACCAAACATTTTACAATTAGAGATCATTTTAAAATTACAAAAAGAACTGAGTTATGTTCATGAAGCATATTCTTAAAAATAATATATCACGCATACTGATTAATTAAACACAGAAATTGAACTTGACAAATTATTTAATGTTTGTAGAGAGGTGTCGAAAACTTCAATGCATATGGACACAATGCGTTACGAACATAAACCATGTATTTTTAAGTTCAGAGAAAAATAATTAGGATAATTTTAGAATGTCTGACAAAATAAATATATTATTTCATTTATATGCTAAAACAAAGTACACATATATCATGCCAAATGATTTTATTTTTATGTAAAACAATATCTTTATGCCTATTCGAAAATTATGTCACATTTTCTGTGATTGAAATCCCCTAAATGCAATACAACAGTGACAAATATTTTTTTATTCCTCAACTCACATTCATAAAACTATTTATACTATATCCTTTCATAAGTATCAAATCATATCAATATCATTCTATCTGCTTACACATTATTTATTGGAAAATAAAGGAGAAAAGAAATATATTTCAAAAATTCACCAGCATTGAAGAATGAGTTATATATAAGGTGGAAGCCATAATATATGATTGCGCCCATGACAAAAGGGTCCTTATGGCATTTATGCTAAAACAGAGAAATAACGTCATAAAGATGTGACGTTGCAGACTGACGGTGAACTTCGAAGCAGATTTTTTTAACCACGTGTTTTGACGTTTGACGCATCCAAAGTTTTTATCGCTGTTTCCAACATGTGGAATTTAGTTTCATGTATAAATTAATTTAATCAATATCTGAATCTCCTAATCCACTGATTTTAATAGATATAAATAAAAACATTTAGAACTGGTTTCTTAACAAACATTATTAAATACGTCTCTATAATACCAATAGTTTTCCTACATGCGCAATTAAATGTATAGAAGCTGTAAACAAGGTGTTTTCTGATAGCATATTGAACCTTTATACTCTAGATAAATTTTATTTACATATTTATACCATTTTTTGAATACATGTTAGACAGGGTATATCGTAAAAAAATATTGCAAAGGAAAATTGTCTTCCTACTTCTTTGAGACCCGCTCCACCACTCTCAAATACACATCGCGATCGCGTCGATCACATACATTGATTCATCGGTGCATACTGCTTAAACTGTTGTTAAATTGTTTGTAAAAATGTTGAAACTAAACATACATCTTCCACGTTTTTTACAAATCTAGCAAGAATGTGTAAGAACGATAGTTAAGATTATTTGTATTTTCTATAAATAAAAATAGGAGAGATAACTCTGATGTCAACAATCGATGTAACAGGGGTACCAGACAGGGACATTCATTATTTTAATTGCGTACTTTTTCACATTTCAGCTGCAAGTTCGCATGAATTTTCTCCCGGATTATAAAAGAGATATTTTATGACCAAATAAAAAAAAAACTTTTTATCGTTATCATTATTATGAATTTTTAAATAAAAAAATATTATTGTACTTTGGGAATAAGGTTAATATCGAAAAGAAGAAAAAAAAAATGCAAAATTGAACAGACTTTAATTTTTTTCTCAAATCTCTTATCTATAGCTTTTTTTCTTTGCATGAAATAATTTCATGACGAATTTCATTTTTTTAAAAATAATAAACATATAAAGCGTCTACCTTATAATGATGATTAAATAAATTAAAATTTAAAAATGTTTTGTCTTATATTCTTGATGCACAAAGACACTTCAATTTAGAAAAAATAAAACAAACAAAAAACATCCGAATGAAAAAAATAGTTCTTAATGTTCTAACTTTAATAGAGCTGGTCAAGTAAATCTGATGAGAGAGAGTGAGAGAGGATGTAGGGTAGATAAAAATATTTATATTGAATCTATTTATCTAATATTGAGAAATGTGAAACTCTATTGAAATGTAAATGCTAACAGGAAATAAAATTCAATGCTGAAAATACATGACATAAAACCGCAACAATATGCTTGCATTTTGTTTTATTTTGGCTGCTGTGCAGGGGATGGGGGTGGGGGTGTCCTTATATATTTCAGTAACATGTAGGCTTTACAAGGCTTAGCATATCCAAGCTTCTGGCACCAGGCACGTGAAAGTGGGGGGGGGGGGGGGGCAGCCCGAGATTTTTTTACTTCCCTGAAAAAGTCGACAAGCAAAAAAAAAAGGTTAATGTTGCACAAAGTCGAAAATCCTTTTTCGTGGGGAGGAGGGGGGGGGTTAGAGGCCAACGTTTTTCAGTACCAATTTTTATACTACGTTTTCCGTACATAAGTAATAGTGGGGGGGGGGGGGGGGCAACCAGACTTTCAATTATCAATTCTTATAGTATAAGTTAGGTTGGGGGAAAAAGTGAAGGGCCAGGCCCCCCTGCCCCCCCAGACGCAATGCACACAGACAACCTTAAAGATGCAGCGAATCAACCGAATTTCCTTTTTATTTACTGTCTATTGTTTATCGTAATTACATGTTACATGTACCACACTTCACAATTTTTCTGTCTTTATATAAAATTTACAAAGAAAGAACAATCAAATAAATTTTCACATCGCAGTAGCATTTAGGTAGCGTAATGTTGTAATTTAAAAAAAAATAATTTTCACATAAATGGTAACTAAAGATATATCGTTTATGCTGAAATCTTGACCTATCGAGAGCAATGTGTAAATTAAAAAAATTTCCAAATGAATTCTACAGGCTTATCAAATGACTCTTGCATGGATTACCAGTAAAATATTTTGTTTGAGAAAATAATTGTTTCAAAAAAAAAAAAAAAATAATAAAAATGAATGGATGTCGCCCGCTGTTCAGGTTTCCCCCTGGTGTCATAGAAAAGTGAAATGTAAAACAAACACTCACTCATAATACTATACACCACTGATGAATCCATAATATATAACAATTAAATAATTATTAATAATTGAAAGAGACAATGAGATAAAAATAATGTGCATGGAAAAATATCAATATTATATAACTATTAATCACCGTAGTAAAATTACAGAAGAAAATCATTTAACGTTCACTCTGAAAATGTTTGTAGTTGTTGAAAAACATGACGTCATTATTAACCTGTTAAAGTATATTTGATAAAAATGAAGAAAAAACCTACTTAGATTAGACGTAGGAGCATAAAAATTCATATTTGACAACTTCTAACCTTACTCTATCAGAATCCGTGAAAAACTCAAAATGCATAAAAATTGCCATAAGGACCCTTTTCACATGGGCGCAATCATATATTGGAAATCTCATTTTAATATGATTTATATTTGCAATAATCTTTTTTTTCAATTCACTGTATACAGGGGGATTTTCCACCCGTTTTATTTTCGCTCCTTTCGCCCTATAAACCTTGAATGGAAAAATTTAAAACGGGATGAATTCAAAGAATACAGTATAATTTCTTAAACAAAACTGTGACTGGGCGAATTAAAAAAGCGGCAAAATTGTTTGCGAGATGGAAAGGGCAAAAATAAAACGGGACAAAAATAACCCTGTATACAGTATTTTGATGATGATATTAGATTCCTGAGGCATATTAAATCTTTACCGTGAGTTGCCGTCATTGCCCGCTTCGTCCTGACGTACGTAGAACTCTGTGCCCCGGACACACATATCTCCCTCTCTGACAATTTCTCCGCCAGCCTCTCCGTCTAATTACATGAAAAAATTCTTTAAAATTTATGAAATACGTCAACACTGTAAAAAGGAAGCCAAATGAAACCTTCATTACATGTACAGTGACTTGAATTTTTAAAGATATAATTTGGTATTTACTTTGGATTGTAACCATGACAATAATTTCTCTTCATTGTATCTGTAGGCTTGGAGATCATCACTTCCTAAAAATAGAAATAATGGCTTTAAACAGAAAATCATTAAATATTACTGAGTTTTAAAAAGCACTCCCAAAGCATATTGGGTTTGACTTAAAATTGTTTTAAAGTTGATCTTTCATAGTCATTATTCTTTATTTGAATTAACGACACCAATTTTTGCAGACACTTACCTTTGATATCAGAGATGTGATGCAGGTCAGAAGTTCCTGAAGTGTTGACAAGCCTGCTGCATTCTGGGAAATCAGGATCACAAACTATCTGATCCAAGGTCATGAACATTCCACGCTGATAAAATATAAAATTTTAAAATTGCTTTATAACTTATGTATTATATTAATTTTGAATTTCGGTGTTTTGTATATTTTGATCTCAACACACTTATAGACTGAATACAATTGATAATTCTTAGTGCCAACCACAATTTTTAAAAAATGATCTCAATAACTCAGGGTTAGGGTTAGAGTTCCCAGATTTATTTTTTGTCAGCTGAATGAAGTTTAAGATGGCAAGGATTGACTGTACATACCTCTTTGACTTTGAGGAAGTAAGGCAGAATAAGGAACAGAGGATCTATGGGGGTTGTTATGTGTAGACTTCCATCTGAAAAGACACAAACATGGACTCAACTCACACAATCATAACTCATCTTTAAAGTAACTTTTCCCAATAACAGGCCTGTCAAAGCTAGCTGCAAGAACTCATTTGTTGCCTTTTAGAGAGGCAGTAGACTTGCCTTGTTGGACCGTGTCATCTATTAACCAGGATCTACAGTCCTCTGAAAAAACCGCGACCTCGAATACATCTTTATCACCATTGGCAAAAAGAAACATGGCACTCCTGTCTGCAAGAGAAATCATTAATATTATAATATTTTGAGACTTAATGCAGTGTATATCCAAGACTATAACCATCATTTTATAAAATAAAACTAGTATGTCTGGATGATATACTTACCTGTTTTAGGATGTCTGAGTTTGCAAAATGTTGTCTTGTTTTCATTGTTTGGATCAATTTCTAAAGCATCATCTTTAAAAGAAAAACATTATATTAAAATCACAGTTAAGTTACATGTATTTACAGTGTAATGTCTGAATAATTAGTCCAATCAACATTTTGCAAAAATTGTATCCCCTTTGTAATCTTAATCTTTTTGATTACTTGAAGACCAAAACAATTTTATAAATGTATAGGCTAGTGTGGCACCCTCCTTCAGTTCACACTTGCAGTAGGTGGCCACAGCTATGAGCAGCAGCCACTTGTTAAAATATGCAAAGAAAGAAGCCACTTCATTCTTGAAAAAAAAATCTTTTCATTAACGAAAATATGTGACCTGATCCCAAGTAAACAAGCTGCCAATTCATACGAATTTTGTGAAGTACAACAATTAATTTTACACTCCTTCATTTTTAGAAATTACATTTATTCGCACTTGCATTAGAACAGGAAATTTGCAAAACTTATAAATTAAACTGGCCTTCTACAAATAAAACTCAATTCTGTGTTTACAATATCTAATGCTTTGAAAAAATCCATTTAAAGCCCTTCTTGATAAATAAAACATATTCATAACAAACCTATTGCCAAACAAACTCTGTAAAACACTCTGTATTTATTTTTAATGTACATTGTAACAATGAAGATCCATCAATCCACTGCACCAGAGAACAATAAGATTGTACTGTAGTTTTAAATACTGTGGCCTGCTTCAATACAATGTTACTATATATAGCTGGTCTATTTAATTTGATACCCAGCTATATCTGATGTCCTTCTGTGACATGCTTGTCTTGACAGTCCTCAATGTCAACCCAAACAAATCTGTAAAGAATCCTGATTGAACTCTTAACATGCTGGATATTGATCAAGACTTGTATGCTGAAAATCTGAATGGGAAAAGAATTTTTCTTTGCTGGAATTTATTCTAATTGAATCAAAATATTCTTTCTTTTACCATTTAATCTTTTTGATAAATTAATCAATCTGTGCACTATTCTTTCCAATTCAATCTTCAATAATAATAAATAATCATTATAACCATGATAACAACGCACTCACTAACAGGTTTTAAATTGTGCTCTTTAGTTTGTTTCAGAAAGACATGGACATAAATTTTTCTAAAACCGATTTAAACTCCTAAATTCCTTTGATCTTTCTACCTAGCTGTCATATTACATTGTATCTCATGCAGGGTATAAAGTACCTGTGGTATATGCAGCCCAGCAGCAAGAATAATGTAGGCACATTGGAATTTTTAAAATTCACTTTAAATATTACAGGGTCTTAATGTTGATCATATGTTATTAGTGAGGATAAAACATACTTTATGATATTAATGAAAGCAAAACTTGTGATGATTCAAATCTTTGGCTATCATTACATTATCTAGAAATATGTCCATAGACATGAATGCCCCAGGGATCATAAGTAATGCTATGAAAAGAAATAATCATTGCTTCTTCTTGTACGATTTAAAATAAATGAGGAAAAGTGAGCTCAAGGTCAAAGGAGAAATCAAGATAAAAATTAAAACAATGTTGAAAGCTCAAGACCTATTTGTATTAATGATTATAAATTATATTGTATGAAGTTTTAAAATTCAAAATACATGAAATTGATTTGAAACCGAGTTTTAAACACAATATTAACAGGAAGGTCAAAGGTTTGAAAGAAGGTCAAGGTAAATAAAAAAAAATTGTACACATCTGTTAGGTTCTCACCAAAATATATCAATGTTCAGAAAAGTATATCTTGTTTACAAAAATACATCTTGAATATTTTTACTAACTGGGCCAACACAAATTGCAGTTAAGGTCATTAACTAGCACAAGGTCAAATCTTTAAATGAAGTTGAATACTATTAGCTCTCACAAGCAACATATGAAGTTTGATAAAAATAAACCTGGTACATGTATCTTGCATAGTTTCTTTGAAATCAAGCCAAAGAAGAAAAATATCAGAAAAGTGAAACCAAAGTGGAAGGAAAGGTCAAGGTCTAATTTCAGATGAATATTTCCATTTCTAATTTTTTTTTCTCTGTGATAACTCTTTGAAATTTAGCGGAGTTGATATCTTGATAATTCTACTGGAATGTAAATTAGGCAGGTCAATAGGTCAGGAGCTAAGGAGGCCTAATATGCATGCAAATCTCGTGCGCATCTGTCTCTGTGTCTGATGCTAAGGAGGCCAAATATGCAAGTAAATCTTGTGAGGCTGCCTTTGTGTTTGACATCTGTGGGCCAGGACTATCAAAATTGATATGGGAGTTCTCGTGTAATTTAAATCTATGTCCACATTTTTAAAATCTAAATCTAAAATTTTATTTTACAATGAAATTGAAATTTAAGGAATCACTGTATGGTTAGTATAGTATGTCAGACATCAATGGTAGTGGGAAACATGGGATAATTTATGCTAAATGGGCTTCACCCCTTATGCAAATTATCCCGTGTTTCCCACTATCGTTGATGTCCTGGCATACTATACTAACTAGACGGTGATTCCTTAAATAACTCTTGTCAATATGTTTCAGAACAAGGAGGATATGAAAACATCATAAATTGTTTCCTTGAAACTGAATTAAACACAATTTTAAGAAATGTGAGGTCAATGTCAAAAAATCTTGATACTGTTGTATGGGTTTTAAGTATGTATTATGAAGTCTGATAAGAATACTAGTATTTTGAATAGTATCTTTTAAACTGAGATAAGTAAAAAATTACAATAAGTAAAATCATGGTCAAATATGGTCAAATAAAAGGTCAAAATAAAATATTGATGCAGTTAAATAGCTTTTATCAGTACGTATAAATACTTCTTTGAAACCAGTCTAAATCCAAAGTGTGAAAGGTGGATGGAAGGATTGGACAAGAAAACACAACCAAAATTTTCCACCATTAATGTAGAATTTAGAAAGACATAAAAGTTCTGCACTACATTTAAGAAATCAGAGTTTGAGGTACACATTGCTTAATATCATGATGGAATCACAGAAAAAAATTACAAAGAAGTTCTGACTTTATTGACTTTTAAAAAAAAACAAAGACATAAAATTAAAACAAAGAAACACAGAAAATGACTTCATAAGATAGTTCATAACATAGTTCATCAATTAAATTGGTATAAATAATGTGTTTACAAATTATTCATTAAAAGATTTTTTCTTCAAACACTCCCATACTAAAACAAGTCATGTGGGCAAATGTACTCACTGGAAAAAACATCTCAAGCAAAAATGAAATTTGACCAACAATAACATACATTCCTCATAATCACTCTGAACTGTTTAAACCATATTCAACATGAATAAAGCAAATACAATTTGTAGCAAAAATTCCGCAACATTATATAAATATTGCATGTAGTTGAGTGTAACACTGAAAATTTTCACCCCAAGAAAACCATTTCGAGGGGTGAAAATTTTCAATGTTACACTGAACTACATGCAATATTTTTTATATTATACCGAATGTTTTATACAAATACATGTACATATAACAGTGAACCGTGCGCGCATAAATTCTGCGCAGTCGCTATTTTTTGGAATATCACCCGTCGTCAAGCAATGTTCACTGTTGCTACGCTGGAGGGCGTGGCTTCATTATCCAGCGGGTAATAGCGTTATTTTAACAAATGTTTCTCGACCAATCAGATTCAACTAATTTACATGAAAGTATAATATCATGCATTATTTACCGGTAAACATTTTCAGAACTCGCTATAAAGCTTAACAAACATTGATTATTTCAGTACTGAAAAAAAGACTTTTTACGTATATATTCTTAATTAAGTTATACCCTAGTCAGATATATCAATGAAACATAAGATATTATCGAATTATATAGATAATGTCAATAACATGCAAAATTATACAGTTAACTTTGCATACAGACGTCTACGAAGAAAAATACTTGCAGACAAAAAAGCTATTTCTCTTGGCCAAAGGATTTAATTTTGATGAATCCAAACCACACCAAAAGGGGCCACGAACGTTTCATTGCGCTACAAAAATGTTATTCACTTGTACAGAAATGTTCATGTAGTTTCGTTGAAACACCCATTGTCAGCTTTCCGGCGCAGTTATTGACGTTTTTTCCGGTAACTAATATTCATGAAATCTTTGTCTTGTAATGCCTCTCCCAAAATTTGTGTCGATATCAATCGAAAAAAAAAATCACAATATATCTCCAATCTTTTACGCTGATTTTTTGGATTGCCACCATTTGTTTTTAATGTAAAATTTGTGACCCCGAGCGGAAAAAGTCGTCTACTAGGCCCTGTATATGTATTTTCTTCACTGAAGTTAAATAAAATTTCTTTCGAGGTCCATTTCCAAGTTGAAATTATATCCCCGTATTATCCGTCTGTATCCACGTGAACCATGACTACACAAGTAGGTTTATGTTTTAAAATTGACTTCACATTGGCTTCCTCCGTATTCTGACTTGCAGGATTCAAATCCAGATTTTCCACAGGTTTAATTATCGTTTCCAGTTCTTGACTAGTATTTCCACTTTCATCTTCGTCCGACCAATGCACGCGATGGTCTGGGCTATACGTGATTTGCGGAACTATTCGACACTGTCTCTCCAGTTTTGACTCGTTCTTGCTATTTGCTGCACTGTTTTTGTCTACCGAATTTTTCTGCTCATTTTTCCTTGCAAGTTGTGCTTTGCACGCCTCACATGGTCCTATACAAAACATGGAGTTTTTGCTGTGTTCACAGGCGCTCAGTGGAGCCACTTCCATAATTTTTGTCATGACTGAGAGCCAAACCAATTTCTAATCAAACATCCTTGTAAAGTTTGCCATTTGTGAAAGGCACCGAGCACTCTTTACTCTCTTGGTTTTAACCAATCGATCAAAATCTCAATGGTTTTTATTCAAACTTTGGAAAGCATACGTTTTAATAAACCTTGATGAACTTGTATATATATATATTCCATAAAACTGAAAGCTAAATGTCGCGTCCGCTCATTTCCTTAGCCAAGTGTTTTCTGCGGAACGTGTTTACGAAATGTCACAACAATCGTGCTGGAACCCCTCCAAGGGCATGGCAACTCCTTCGTTCTTTTCTTTTCCCCCCTTATCAAATGACCGACCCTTGCTAGTTCCTTTAGTCAACAAGTCATATCTCCAACGTTCATATCTCAATACCCTCTCGCCAATTCTAAAGACTGAAGGCGGCTATTTACCAAAGACTGTAGCAAAGGACAGCTGTTCCTTTAAATTCGAAAAAACCCTTTGTTTACTTTGCAATATTAATTACGAGTATATCGGTAAATCTGGTATTTTTCCGTTTTGAAAAAGTATAAACGTTGAATTGTTGAATTGCATACCAAAGAACGTAAAAAAGCAATTTAAATCATTTCAACATGAACAATATTTACATTTGTTGAAAGATATTTTATAAATACCTAAAATTCTGTAAACGTAATTTAATACATATAATTACCTTAAATGTATTTGTGAATTTTCTCTATTACAGACCAAAAGCAACGGCTTAAGATTTGTGAGAGGCACAACCAATTTTAGTATGGAGAACTCCGCGAATTTCATTTTTTTTTCTTTGAAAAGGGGGGGGGGGTCTCTTAACAAGCAAAAAAAACAAAACAAAAAAAACAACAACAAAAAAAAAAAACAACAAACAAACAAACTAACAAACAAACAAACAATTAAAAACAACAAGAAAGGACGTTATGACTTCAAGGAGCACAACCATAGAGAAGCTGTGCCCAAATTTATATTGTCAGGTAAAAATATTCGGGAATTATGGTCATATCCCGGTTTTCTTGGATCAACTTTTCGATCCCCCAAAAATAAACTATTAAATTCATGAGCATATCGGACAATAAAGACACGAAAATCTTCTGACTTTAAAAAGCAGCAAAGGAAGAGTTCCGTCATCAATACATTAAAAGTTTTATTACTGTAACAGCGTTTTGTACTGACCACATCCATTGCAAAGAATTGTGTTATTGATAACGATCATTCAGCAGGTCAAATGAACATATGTAAAGTAAAACATGCGTTTCCAATGATCATATTGTACCATTTTGTATTTTTATAGAAATCTGCTTGTAGGCAACAATGTTATTGGAATACTAGTAGTTTCCTGCATGTTATGGAAGCATGGCCCATTTTCCTACGTACACTCGACATACATTCCTGTCTGATATAAAGCATACTTATCTCTAATCAGTCTGCAGTGGCACAATGCTTGCATGTGCAGAAAATGCCCGACAATACTTTTTTAATCAGATCCTTAATGAATTAAAAACAAAGACCGATAAACATGTTCTTTTATGCATCATCTGATGTATGAATCAATTAATGTGTATTTAATACTGACATTTTTTGTATGGCCGAAATTCCTGGATTCTTCTTAGCGTCTTCAAATTAAAGTTATATTATTAATCAGATCGAGTAACCCTATATGGATACGACAACACAAGTAGGTGAAAAATACAGGGTAAAAATGAAAGTTTTTTATTCACTAAAGTTTCTCAATCGTGATTAAAAGCTTGCATTGCCTGTGCCAGGAGTCAAATGTAACGTAACAACTAGCTTTTTCTGTGCTTTCAGTTGAAAATTATATATCAAAAGTAAGGCGATTTATTTACTTGAATAAGCTTTCTTAAAAGACGTATCTTCGTTTCTAGACGACTCCAAAAACTTTAAAAACCAAACAAGAAGATGGATAACAAAACAGACCATTATTTAGTCCTATACATAAGACGTCTACGTTCCCAATGACACTAATTTGACCGGTAACAATTTTAGATTTTTATACACGTTCATCTGATTTTTCTCTCTATTAGATCGTAAATGTGATTAATCTATACAAACTGCATTGATGTTATGTTGATGCATTTTGCTGGATACTTCAAAGACCTGTCTTCCACCTTTAACCAGGCTGTGCCTTTAACTGCCGGAAGTTGCAGTTCTAAACCACAGGATTTTACAAAATACCAGGTATCAACATCTTCCTTTCGTATATTTATTGCTCAGTCATATAATTCACTTTTTTATGTTAATCGATAAAAGATTAACTTAAATGTATTGCCTTATTTCATGAATATTTCTTGAATTGATGCAATCTCTACCCAGAGTTATCGTTCCACTTGTAGCGAAGCGAACGGCAACTCTGGGTAGAGATTGGATTTAATGATAAAAGGTGAGGGGGGTTACATTTCTCTCCGACTTTATAGAACATTTTTATCGGTACAATATTTCCTCTTATTAGGTTGTTATATGCATAAGACTATGCTTACTGACGAAACTGAAATCTTCCACTATGATAAAGATCATACTAACTTTTGCTTTTTTTATTACACGTACATGGAACACAGTCAGAGAATTCGGAATTTCGAAGAGGGAAAATTTCCGCCTTGTAGTTATACCCTCTTTAGACTAAAGTGTGTGTAGAGAGACAATACTCGGTAACTTGGCTTCCATTTTTATGTTTAGAATCCTTTGCATTTTCAGAACTTCACAGCCCATCCTTATGATGTCATTTATATCACACAAAACCAAACAATTTTTACAACAGTTTATTAAAAATGCATTGAATGTGCCTTAAAATGCAATAATTCAATATATACAAACGTTTTCTATGTACAAAAAAAATCAATGTTACAATAAATACGACGTACTGAGTACTCTTTAACATCTACGAATCCCTGCCATATAAATAATACTGGTTACAATACTAGCATTACATTGGTTACAATACTAGTATTAAATTGGTTACAATACTAGTATACGTATTACATTGGGTACAATACTAGCATTACATGTATAGACAAGAACAACGAATTCAACATAAATGCGTAGACAAGACAGAAATATACATAAAATTCTCTCACAATAAATTAGAAAAAGACAGATATTGACTAACGGTAAATATTGCATCTGACTCTCCCTCTACCAGGACTCGGTTCGTTGCTGTTGCTGGGAAACCAGCCCTGGCGTCTTTGAATATTCTCAGCACCATGGCAACAGTTATTTAAGCTAATGTTCCGTCTGGACCAAAGACGAGCATCGAGTCCATTCCTGTTTACACGATCATCGTGGACGTGTGAGGTTTTCGTTATTTATTCTCCGTGCACGATCACCGTGCACGTGCGTTTATGTTGTTCATTCTCCGTACACGATCACCGTGCACGCGTGAGTTTTCCTAGGTGGTGTCTTTTTCAGAATAGGTTTAGGGTGGAGTGTTGAACACAAAATTGGAACGGAAATCTCTTTTTCTTCTGAATCTTCGTTGATTTCTGGAATGTGAAATTCCAGACTTGGTTCTTGGGCGAAACGCACGTGTGGTTGGTCTTCTCTCCTTTCTACTGACTGGCGGGAGGGAGATTTTGTTCGCCCTTTTAGCGGGAAGGTTGTGTTCTTGTCCAGTGAATTGCAACGAAACATGGTGTCCACTTCAAAAATGGATTTCTTGTTGTCGTCGCATGTAATTAACGACTCCATGGACATCATTTTGATAATCTTCCCTTCCGTAGAATGTGACTTTTCCAGGCTGATTTTTTTTTTTAGTCCGTTCCTTTCTAAAATTGGAATGTTATCAGATCGAAGTTTAAAGGATGTAAAATCCAAAGAAAATGTTCAAAACTAGTTGTTATCAGAAAATAATATCGTCAATCGTCCTTAAGAAATTTTCCAAATAGTCTAATGATATCTGTAGTTTCTTCTTCGTAAAATCATGTGAGCGAATTCTTCATTGATAAATTTCTCATACAATTTCCACATCAGTAATAATTTGTCCTTTCGTCTCGGTGTCTTGTTTATATCTAACATAAAATGATCTCGCATATCAACTTTATTTTGCCAATTATTTAATCCCCAAGCCGCGCTGCCAGTTTGGAATGGTTCCAAGAGATTTTTTTATTGCAATAGATTTTCAATTGTTTGGGATTTTAAAAACAAGATATCAATGACATGTTTTAATGTAGGTTATCAAACACTGATCGACTTTTTGTATCGGGTCAATCCTACGTATCGTATTTACTTAACTGAATTTCAACAAAACTTGGACGGTAGTCAAATTCTTCATGAATCCTTTACGCATTCCCATAACACAAAATGATGCAAGGTTTGCCAAGGGTTTCACGTCTGTTTAAATAAACACTAAGTTCCTTCTTAATTACGAAAGCAGTGTTTTTGTTTTTATAAGAATACTGCGTAACGTTCATGTATATCAAAATCAAACTGACACATATTGATTGGAAAAGGATCAAATTAAATCAATATTCGTACATAAGCAGGTTGTATTCTGAACACTTTTGGTGGTAGTTCTAAATAGCTTCTTAAACTACACCCATCTATATTCTTGCACAGTGTACATCTGTACATGTACAAAATAAGTATATGAAAGAGGTAGAGCCACGTTGGGCCTTATTAGGCCCTGAGAATTTCCGAAAAATCAAAACCGCTCAGTTTAGGTTGCAAATGCAACATTTATCACTTGGAGTGTTGGTGACCACATATCTATTAATTGTGACGTAATTTTCCATCTACTCAATGCATTATGACGTCATAAAATGCGTCATTTTCCTCAAATAGTGTAAATTCCTTTGAAAATGGACTAACGTTGAAGCATTTTTTCAATATTTCATATAGAGCACAACCTCTGATCCAAAATATGCAAATACATAATAAAAGCTCTGTTTCTGAAGATCAAAAAACATGTTTTAATTTTTGGATCGTGGGCTGTGCTCATATTTTAATTCTTTGCTGAAGGTAGTCAAATACGCATGTTTTCAGCAAATTTCAAGAACATTGCAATTTCTCGAACCTGTTTTCCAATATCTGAATTCTCAAAACGAAATTTTATTACAGAAAATGAAAGCACCAAGTGTCTACTTTATTTTGACATATAAAATGGGAAAGAGGGTGATAGTTCATTATTTGATATAAGTACAGGGCCAATTTATGCATAAGATGGCTCTTGCTCTTTCCTGAGAGGAGTAGGGGATTTCTACGTACATTGTAAATGGATTCTGTTGTGGGTATATCTATGTTATCATAGGACTTACTTCAATGATGTTCAACACTGGTTTAATTTTATGGGATTTTTTTAAACAGAGATGGGAAACAAACTTGTTTCATCTAGTAAAATCTGGACAGATATCGGTCTAAATCAAGTTTTTTTGGGGGGGGGCAGAAAGGAAAGGGGGGGCAAAAAAGGAGCAGACATTGCAGGGAGAAACTGGAAGATAGAAGGAAGTAGGTGAAAACGGGAAGATGCTGTAGAATATGCCTCATATGGGTTACATATTTCACCAATTATTATGCCTTTCATTGTCAA